TTTTGCCAATGGTTTCAACTTACAGACCAATATTTGATTACTACTAGGTTGGATGAACCTCTGAGATTCTACTTACACATGCACAGATGCAAATACATCACACATCGTTTTCTGAAGCTTCTGCAAAAAGTAAACAAGAAAACAGAATAATTAAATTAAAAGTAGAAATAAACAGTGAAAAAATAGAAGTGAGGTAAAGCCAGGTCCAATAAGATAACTAATCATCTACAAAGTCTAACGAAGGACAGAATGAAAGCAAAAGAGAAACAGAAAGGGAAGAGGTAGAAGATGCCAAGCAATACTTTGGCTCGGGAAATGGGCATTCTTGCCCGAGGCACGGAATGGAAGTTAGCAGGCCAGGTAGGAATGGTGGGGGATGAACAGAAAATGCGCATGCCCTGTCTAAAGCCTGCAGTGGTGAATGCTGACAAGACCAAGTCCTGGCCCTGTGGTGCTGACCGTTCTAATTTTTTTAAAAAAACCAAAAATATGGCTTTTAAGTGAAATCTTACAGTTCTTAAACACTACCAACTGACTGACCTTTTTTTCTTTAAATCACTTAATGGTCCAAGTAAAATACACCTCTGGGACACACTCAGTCCTCTCATTGGGAAGCTCTGATGTAGAGTGAGGAAAAGACGATCAAGGGTAACAACCTGAAAGAAAGAGGAAGAGGCACAGCCCAGAACAAACACTAAGTCCAAGAAGGAGGAACCAGTAAGGTGTGTTATGAAAAAGAGAATCTCAAGGAGCAGTCACTGTGAAATGCAACAGAAATAAGATAAGGACAGGTAAGTGGTCACTGGTACTAGTTTTAGAAGCAGGTTCATTGGAGTAGTGGAGGCTAAACCACAGGTACTGGTTGAAGAAGATAAATAGTTCAAAACCACAGGGTTAACTGAATAGCAATGTGTGGAGCTATCCCCCCCTCACTGGTCTGTACCTGCTGCTGGCACTGAGCTGGTACAGACCAGAAATGCTGTTGGCCGTCGTATAATATGCAGACAGCCTCCCCAACAAGGAATTACCCAGCTCACAAAGCCAATAGTGTCACTGTGGAGTAACACTCTGAGGTAGGTGTGTAAAGCCTTTCTGATTTCATGGGGGGAGAAAAGCCTGTTTTAAAAACAGTAAGTTAAGACAAGGTCATTATTTTTGCTCATCAAACTCATGCATTCAGGCTCTCATTAATCCCCATGTTGATACTGTATTTGTTAAGATTACAAACATTAATAGGTGTTTCCTTTTGTCAAGACCAGAGTGACAGAAGAAAAATCAGGAGGATTATAAGTCATCCCTGTTTAAAGAATTCATATATTCAGCAATCTTGTAGAAAGGCAGTGAGTTTCAATAAGACATACAGTCATACCAATATAATGAAATAAGACAACTATAAACTTCATGGTAGGTATATTAACAACCTTTTTAATATATTTTTAGTATGTACACTTATTTTAAAGGACCTTTATATTTAACAAATTCATTAAAATCAAATTGTCCTGACACATAAAGGTATAAATTAACAGTAGCACACTATCAGAAGTTAAGAAAAAAGAAAGCTCTCTTGACTTCCATTCCACAAAAGACCAAAAGTTTTGAGAATTCACCCAAAGGCAAGGTAAATTCGAAAGCAGCCCTTTTATGAAGAAGCACTGTTATAAGTCAGTATCTCTCACTTCTCCTAATAGTCCATTAACCCAATGACAATTCCTTAGTCATATACTATACTTTCAACTGATCTTAAGACTGTCAACAAACACTTATTAAGCACTTAATATGTAGGCCAATCAATGTGCTGAATATTATAATAGTGAGCAAGTTATTTCTAAGCATTTAAAGAGGAGAAGATAACAGCAATAATAAGCAACAACAACAAACTAAATACAATAGCTAATTTCAAGTAAGTAGTCACTAGAAACATGCATTAAGTGGGGTACCTACCCACCTGGGTGGCAGGATTCTGGGTAGCTTGCCAAAGTAGGTGCTATTTAAGCTGAAGACAGGAGGACAGTAAGCTAGATGAAGCAGGTTGGGTGAAATATTCAACTTTGAATGGCAGCTCAAAGGCCTTCAAGTAGGAGGGAAAAACAATGGGGTAAAGGACAAGAACTTTGTTTGCTTCCTAAATCTTACCTTGAAAAAAAGTATTAGAAACCCCATGAGTTCTATTATTTCTACAAGATGCAAAGAGACTATTTTAAACAAGACAAAGTAAAAGAATCAACTGTTAAAACATACTTGACAGAAAGAAAAAACACTTTCATTTGTTCAATAAGCAAAAACAGTATAAAATTGCTAATTAAATTCTCAGAAAAAACAACTGATCGGCTCCTTTACCTAGTTCATGACAACTTGTACCAAGACAATATATTAACAAATCTGTGCCAGCATTAATTTGCACAAACTTCCTTCTTACTGCTTCACATTCTTGCACACTAATTATTCATTTGTCTTTTCTTCAACACCCACCAGTCTGAGAATATTCAAGTCACTTGCCCAAAGGCCTAAATGAACCTTCATTATTTTAAAATATCCAAAATTCCAACCTGATTTCCAAGAGCCATGCCTTAAATGGCTATTATTTCACTACTTATCTCATTCTGTTTGGGGCATAATATATTTATTCCAAATCTTTTAAATGCAAGAATATGTAATTATATTATTTTCAATTATATGTGAGGACAATATACTAGTATAGGCTGGATATAATTCTAAAACAAACTGAGTTTTCTCTATTTCTATAATATAAAGGTGTTAATGAATAACAATTTAAACAAATGTTTATTGAATTTATCTTTTATTCTTCTTTTGGCAAACAGATAATATGAACAAAATTATACTGCTCGCTATAGTTATACACACTCTGTCTTGCTTTATACAAGTTGTAAACATATTTAAGTCAATACAATTCTTGACTTAGCACATTCCAGAATTCTGACATACTTTTTGAGTTCAAGCAAAAGAAAGCTTATGAAACTTCCACTGTATTATCATTACATAGCAAACGAAATTAGTATATCTGCTTTTAAATTAACATCTATCATTTTTTAAATACTTCAATTTTAGGTTAGAGCTAAAATGATTTTTATCTAAAGCAGTGGTTCTCAACCTTCTGGCCCTTTAAATACAGTTCCTCATGTTATGACCCAACCATCAAATTATTTTCGTTGCTACTTCATAACTGTAATGTTGCTACTATTATGAATCGTAATGTAAATAGCTGATACGCAGGATGGTCTTAGGCGACCCCTGTGAAAGGGTCGTTCGACCGCCAAAGGGGTGGTAACCCACAGGTTGAGAACCGCTGAAAAGTTTTATGGGAAAAAAACAGAGCTAACCATACAAATGCTGTTCATAACCATATCAACCATTTAAATATGACATATTTCAGAGGGGCGGTGGTGGGTAGGAGATTAACCAATGAAGTTATATGCACATATGCATAGCCCATGGACACAGACAATAGTGTGGGGAAGGCCTGGGGAGGGGGCATGAATGGGTTGGAGGGAGACAATGGGGGGGAAGGGAGGACATCTGTAATACATTCAATAATGAAGATAATTTTAAAAAATTATACAAATTAAAAATAAACCTATAATCAAGAAAATGTCACTCATCTTGTTAGAAAAAAAAAGTTACCAATAAGGTATTTTCCAATGCTTTAAATGTAGATGAAATTTATAATAACTAGGTTTCATGATACCTTATTTTATTACTTCTTAATGGTTATCTTTTAATTTTAAAGCAACAGGTTACTTCAAAATAAAGGCAATATGATTAGTATTTTATAATTTCATTATTTTATACATTTCAGAGCCCCGAGAAAACTCAGATCTCAAAACAGGCAGCCTTCAGAATGTATTTTGCTTGGCAGCAGAATGGCTTTTAATCTCTTGAAATGGAATACCTTCATGTAGTACTTACTTGCTGTAGTTGACCAGTTTCCCACATCATCAATGAGACTGACACCCATTTTTAATATATAAACCTGATATTTAACTGCAAAAATTAGTTGCATTCATAAAGCAAAAATTTAAATATTATAAACTTCATGCTAAATGTCACTAGCTTTTTCTAATTGGGGAAAGACAGGTCTAATAAAAAAAAGTGTAATTTTTATAATACTTTCTTATCAAATTACCAGACACATTTGTATATATGAGTACTATCTTCTTGGAAGGAATACTGTTGTGTGTAACTTGAAATCTGAGCTAGATAAATCATGCACACCAAAAGGTATTATATACTGATTTTTACTACACAGTCTGGCTCCTAAAGAGTGGCTTTCAGCTTGATCCATACATGTGATACAAACATTCTCAATACTTCAGGTTACGGAAAGGGGACATTAAAAGGCTAACAAAATAACAGTAAAAAAGGCTTTCTTTTAATCCTAGAGAATGAAGCAAAAAGAGAAAGGTTTTGTAAGAGAAACTGGGAAAGAGGAAGGATTTGAAGTATGTTTGGCCTTGGACACTTTTGACAGTGCCACTTCACCTTGTAGAAGTTCACGGGTAAGAGAGGTCACAAATCGTTTCTCAGGGGGAAGAAGTGCAAGGAAAGCGAAGCAGCTGAGCAGTGACGGAGAAAACACCACAGAGTACAAGCATTTGTAGTTATGAAAATGAGAAGTTTAAGAGACAGCAAGTAGTGACAAATTAGTCAGACATGAGTATGTTGGGACCTTTAAAATGACACAAAAATAAGAGCTAATCTATAATTCTTTACAGGTTTAAATCTGATAGGGAACACCTATATATTTTGAATCTGTCTCATTTCTTAGTTTTAACAACTGATTCCCATCTGAGAAAAAACATTTTAAAATTCTTAATCATTAAAACAAGCTTCTTGGCTGCACTTTGATGGGGTAATAAAAAAGCTTCACAGCATTAATTTCACTAATACCAAGGTTGCTGCAATCAAGTTTCTTTATAAGGATAAATTAAATTTGCTATCACCATCCCCACAGTATTGCAATCTTCAAAAAAATTACACTGAAATGGTTACTGAAAGCTTTTAATAAAACATTAAGATTTATTTCAACAGAATGTTCAGGATTCCATATTAATAAAAAATATAAGCAAATAGGGTTGCATCTTGGCCTATGAATGATTCTCTCTACAATGGACGTACAAGTGTTTAAAATACCAGTAAGGGCATACTGGTTAAAGTTTATCTCTGACATTTTTTTTTTAAAAAAACCTATTAGCAGCTATGCCATAAAACTGATTTAAAGTAGTTGTTTTTTCAGTAATGTTTAAAACAATCCCGCACTTGGTATAAATACTCATATCCGCACACTATACAAAAACATAATTGTGCAACACTCTGTAAACTAGCTGCAGTTTTCAGTAACTCTGTTCACCAACCACGTGACAGAATTGTAATGTTCTCCTAAGCCATATGCATGTCTCATATATCTGAAAGAAAAAGAAAAAGAAATTACTGGTTTTGGTGAAGGTAATTCTTTGTATATAAAAGTTTATTATGCATATAACACCAAGGCCTCTGAATGAATCACTCCACAGATGTATCATTCAATAAACTGTATAAGCATATTACTTAAAAAGTTCAACAGCATGTGAAAAGCATAAGATCTTTAACCAGGTCTGCTGAGTTTAAGTCCAATAAAACACAATCATTAGGGGGGGGGGGGGGGGGGGGGGGACCAGGAGCAGGAAAGGGTCACTGAAGCTGCGACTCAATAAGCTTAAAATTTTTACCTAAATCAAAACCATTAATGACCACCTTAGTAGGTTTATCTAATGAACACTAAAGTCGGTAACAAACTCTCCATGCTGTGTTTCAGGAGACTTCTCAGTCATGTAAAAATACTTTTACAATATGAAGAAAAAGATATCTAAAGAATAAACAATTAGGCAACGTGAATATATTTGTTTTTTCACTTGTTAAAACTTTTAGCATTAACATGGGGATAAGGAACCATATGTAATATCTTAATAAAAAATATATTAAAAAAAACTTTTAGCATTATTAATGTCAACTCAGGACAATATTCAAACTAATCCTAAAACTTTCTAACCTTTAGAAATGATTTTATTATTAACTCATATGCAAAAATAAATCACTATAGATTTAAATAATTGTCTAAATCTCACATTTTGGCAATGCTTTTTAATTCTACAATTGCCTTTCACATAAATAAGCTTATTTAATTCTACTGAGCATAGGTGTTTTTTTAATTAATCAACAACCTAAAATATTTCAATAATCCTTTTTGTCTTAATTATGAAAAATAAAACAGTAGACATTTCTAGATACTTACACAAGTATTAATGGTTTGTTTGGATATTCTTCGCCAACTACAATAGGAGGAGAATCTGCCTGTATTATCTCTATTGGTGTTTGTAAAATATGAGACAGTGCTCTTAGCTATAGGAAAGAAAATGTATTAGTATAAAAATAAATAAAAGTATAAATCTTATTGAAATCATAAACTACTAAGGTATTCATGAACAGCGCAATCATTCAGAGCAGGGAATCTCTCTGTTTATCACTATACACTAAGAACCTGGCACGCAGTAGGCACTTGACATATTTGTTAAATTAACAAACAAATATAATATTTATTAAATCAAATTCGAAAGCTTCAAGCCTTGGCTACATGATAGCTTCTTAGAAAGATCAATGTCATAGTAAATAAAGTAAAGGAATGGGTAGATTGGGCTCATTATATAGACTCTTTACTTTTGAAAATTTCCATAATAAAGTTTTTTAAAATATTATTGTTAGAGCACCAGGCCAAATCAAATACAATTTTGGAGGGAAAGGGGGAAAAAGAGGGAACAGCGCAGAATAGGAGGTTTATTTTTCTTAAAGCTTTCAGATGATTGTAATGTACAACTAGGGTTGACAGCCACTGGTCTGTAATTTTCAAGGTGCAAATAGAATGAGTTATGTATCTGAACTGCACTACTGTTTCATGGAATTTCCATCTAATTAATAAACAAGTTTAATTTTATGCCACAGAATATAAAATTAAAACTTAAAGTGGATGAATAAGAGTTAGTAATACAATCAATCTTCACATAACCTTATGGAACAATACTGCTATACTTATTTTTTTATTATACTTATTTTAAAGACCTAGAATTTGATGCAGAGAATGGTTAAGAGGCCTGCCTAAAGTCATGAACAAGGAAATAAAATGACTTGCAAACTGAGAAAGTTCATAAACAAATTTAAAAATCTTTAATGTAGGGCCTTGATCTATGTATTGGCCCCATTAATCTGTCTAAAATGTAGTCCTTTTAGAAAGTTTTAAACAAAAATAAGAAATTACTTCAGAATCTGAAAAAGGTTCTATGTTTTCATACTCTATCATAAAATGTTCCTCCAAGGCACTTTTTTCTCATACCTAAAATAACATTTTAAAAAACCTTAACATCTCTTCCCAGTCTTCAGAAATTTTTTTCAACCATAATTTAAATTTACCCCATTGAAGAAAATAGCAAATCTTGCCCAGTCAGTGTTGCTCAGATGAGCATAAACCTATGAACCAGGAGGTCATAGTTTGATTCCCGGTTGGTTACAGGCTCGATCCCCAGTAGAGACCGAGCAGGAGGCAGTTGATCAATGATTCTCTCTCTCACATCGATGTTTCTATCTTTCCCTCTCCCTTCCTCTCTGAAATCAATAAAAAAAACATATTTTTTTTATAAAGAAAAAACAAACAGCAAATCTTATTTAAAATGGATTCAGAAATGAAAAATTTATGAGAAATGTCCTTCAAAGGATTTTTAAAAGGTTTTTCTGAATTTATAAAGAGTCACTTAGGTCTTTAATTCTCATATTAACTTGGGATTTTTATAAGAAAGTTCAAGCATCTTTAATACTTCTTACATAGTGACAAAGCTACTATGGAAACTTCCTGAGTTTTAGAGACCCAGGAGAGGCACACAAATTAATGGGCAGTTCCCCCTAGTGACTAGAAGAGGTATAAATATAGCACTACGTACTCAGAATAAGATTTTGCAGAAGCATTCAAGGAATACCTTGAGACAATAAAGCTCTTTAAAAAAATGTGTATATATATATGTATCTGAACTGCCCTACTATATATATGTAATTGATTTCAGAGAGGAAGGGAGAGGGAGAGACAGAAACATCAATGATGAGAGAGAATCATTGATCGGCTGCCTCCTGCACACTCCACACTGGGGATCGAGCCTGCCACTTGGGCATGTGCCCTTGACCGGAATTGAACCTGGGACCCTTCAGTCCACAGGCTGACGCTCTATCCACTGAGCCAAACCAGCTAGGGCTAGACAACATAGCTCTTAAAATGAAATACTCAGAGCCGCCACAAACTATTCAAGATGCCTAGTCACTACACAATATTAATAAGACTGCTAGACTCATCCACCTGGCATTTTAGCTTACAAACTCCTATGCATATACTCCCTGCCTTATTTAGTGTCCACAAATGACCTACCCAGTATGCACAGGGTTTTTATTATCCCCATGCAATAATTAGGAAACTCGAGCACAGCAGGTTGACTAACTCCTGCAAAGTCACAAAACTGAGAAGAAGGAGAAGCCAGGACCCAAAGCTTTCCCTCTCATCTCCTGACTTTCTAATAACCCAGGCTGTCTCATCATCTTGGACCACTTAGGTGTTTTACTTTATTTTAATAAAACAAAGTTAACAAAGTAAGGTAAATAATTGGAACTAAAACAAATGATCCCGTTTAAATCCCTACAAGTGTCTAAAGGTATATTTTCTTACACTTACAAGCCAGTCGGTCATTATCAATTAGGAATTCAGGACACATTTGTAATAGATTTGTGTGGTAGGGCTTGACCTGTAATTTCAATAAAAATACTGTTTTCTATTTCTGATGTAACTGATATGTTACTTTTCCAATACTGACTTCCCTCAGTTGAGCCACTAGGGTAAATATTACTGTACCTGAGTAAACTCTTAATTTTCCTGAGCAAAAAAAAAAAAGCTTTGTCAGTAGCAGCATCACAAATGGAATCACTAAGGCAGACACAACACTAGCCTCACCAATCACAGCTCAAACGCTGGGCTATTTAAAATCAAACTGTAATTCCCTTCCTGAAGGTACATACTTACAAGCCTAGAAATGTTACCTTCCTACAAGTCAATGCTTTGTCAGTAGAGAGACACCAAGTAAGTAAAGAAAAGGAATCTTCAAAGAAAAACCGAGATCATCTGAAAAATGTCTGGGATTTAGAAATAATTTACCAATCTACAACCACTATGAACAATTTAAACTTACCTCCAGCTGGCCTCCCCATGCAGCTGTGTTTATAATATCATCACAGTACTTTCCAAACTCTTCTGTAGAGAATAAACAGAATATAGCACTTAATAATTGTCATAACTCTTGTTATAAAATCCCTCTTTATAGTTTCTACAATTCCTAATAAAACTACTCGATTTGAACTTCCTTCTTCTTTACCTGTACTCTCCAGAATTTAGACCACTTACAGATCCAAACTTAATTCACTATAATTTTCCACCACCTTTCATCCAAGAGCAAAGCATTTCTGCTTCCCTCCCTCAGTCTGAGACCCAAGGAAGGGCCTTAACTATATAACAAGCCTACTTCCCTCTCCTTATCCCAAGCAATGACTCCCCCAAATCGTCAACTTATTCACTACCTTGACATGTACGTTAAAGCCTAAAGTTGCACCTGAAAGACTACGCCAAAAGAATAAAAATGTAGCCTCTATAAAATCAGCTCCACCGTAAGATCTTAAGAAATGTGCGAAGAGAATCAGAGTAAAAGCACAAATGTGTTGAAACTCCTTTCTCAGAGGTAGCATCCAATAGGGCCTCCCCTTGTTATTCTGGAAACATTTACCTTATTTGTATCAGCATCGTATATAAAATATTTTAACTGCAGAATAATTAAATACGCAAAAAATTAACTACCTAGTACAGCAACTTGTACTACTATGTATTAAAATTACAGAAAATAATTCTACCTAAATTTTGAGATCTTTTCCCCACAAGGATTATACCAGTTTTTCTTATTCTGAGTCTCAGGAGGCACTTGATTTAACAATAACCACCACAATTGCAACACCAAGACATAATAAAGAGAAATAAATTACCTGGAGTATACATATCTCCTGTATTGGGATTTGTTAAAAATGGCAGAAAGTCTTCCATGTGGCTTTGCATATAGTTAGCAGTTTGGCTTCTTAAGGCAGCTACAGTCAGAGGGCATTCCCGCTCTTTCAGCTGATCTTCAATGGCTCTATACATACAGTGGCCATCCGAGGGAATCTGTTTAATTTCCAACTGTCTAGCTGCCAATATTTGAGCAAGTTTTTCACTTTCTACATGCCTAGCTCCATATAAGTTCTCAATTTCAGCTTCAGCTATCCTTTCTTTCTGCTCCTTTTCCAATGCAGCTTTTTTATCCTAAGAAGAGAACATAGGAAAGTTAACTCATACAAATGAGGACTAATTTACATTTATTAAGGAGACAGAAAGATAAGATTCTTAAAACACTTTTCCATCTTTCTTCCTTCTCCCACAAGCGCTATCCTATTGCTGATATCATCACTTGTAGAATCTTCTATACTGAGAACTCCTTTTTAAGGACAAACTACCTTTCTCACCTGTGTATAGCCAGCACCTAGTTCTGTACTGGGACAAAAGCCCTCAAGTTTTTCCTTGAAAAATGTAAAAACTTTTAAAAACTATATGCCTACATGAGAAGTTTCTAAAAAATTTACTTACTGATTTCAATGTCCTAAGACTGGCTTATCCTAGTTCTAACGCACACGTTATCAAATTTAAGTCCAGGCTCATACCAAGCTTTGTAACTTACCACTACACCAGTGGTATATTAACATGCTAAAGCCTTAAGAAGGGAACAGAAATTCTACTTGTATGCATCTACCTTTGAAGAAAATGTGTCTGTGAAACAGACCCAAACATTTTATTCACGTAACAGATAAAAATATTCTTCTAGGTAAAAAATTAAAATATTACAGATAAGACTAAAGTTCCCCTTAAGGACCACTGCCAATACCAGTAACTGCTCTAGCGGTCTGTTGTATATCCTTCTAGATTTTTTCCCTATGCATTTGTTTGTTTGTTTGTTTATTTACTTATTTATTTATTTACTTACTTACTTATTTATTTATTTATTTATTATTGGTTGATTTTGAAAAAAGAAGGGAAGGGGGAGAGGGAGAGAGACAGAGAGAGAAACATTGACTTGCTGTTCTGCTTACTTATACCTTCTTGGTTGTTTCCTGTAGTGCCCTAACTGGGGATCGAACCTTAAACCTTGGCGTATCGGGAGAATGCTCCAACCAATTGAGCTACCTGGCCAGGGCTTTCTTTGCATTTTAATAAATATAGATGTACTCATAGAAAATGTGTATACATATTCTATGTCTACATATCTCCTGGATTAAATACTTAAAAAATTAACTACCTAGTAAAAAAACAAAACTTTTTCTTAGTAAAAATGGTATACATTACAACCTGTCACTTGCTTTCCTTATTCAAATGTCATAAGAAATCTTCCCATAAAGCATATACAAAGAAGAGGGACTCAATGAGAGATTTGTGATATGAAGGATGGATAGGAGGTAGAACGAGAAGGTTGGAGAAAAAGAGAAAACATTCTTGACAGTTGGACTAGGAAGGATGAAAACCCGGAAGCATATATGTCACACAGATGAACAGCGTGCATATGGCTAGAATACCAGAGAAAAATGCCAAGAGCTGAGGTTGGAGGAAAAAAGATAGTTACAAACAGTCCTGACTTAATGAAGCTTCGTCTTAAAGTTTTTTGACTTTACGATAGTATGAAGGTATGCACATTCAGTGGAAACCTTACTTCAAATTTTGAATTTGATCTTTTCTCAGGCTAACAATATGTGGTAGGATACTTTTTCATGATGATGGACAGCGGCAAGTGACCGTGAGGGTAAACAACCATACGCTACAGTGCAGTCATTGTGTTAGATGATTTTGCCCAACTGTAGACGAATGTAAGTGTTCTGAGAACATCTATGGTAGGTTAGGCTAAGTTGAAACTCAGTAGGTTAAGTGTGTTAAATTTCATGAATGTTAGTTCAGGTCCTTTGACAAAGAACTCCATCATTTTTTTCCTACTCTCTTCTTATATAACAGGTAAGACAAGTACTGAGCACACAGCACTGACTTAAATACTTGGTGAAAAGACTTCCATACCCGTCTCTTTTGTGCTCTTGATATCCGAGGCGGCTGATTCTCAAGAACCAAGTTTGAAATGTTGACAGTATCAAAATCTCTCTAAAAAAAAAAAAAGAAAGAAAAGAGAGAAAGCATTAACTAGTAAATAAAAAAATACTTTTAAATTAGTATTCAAAGTATCAGAGCAATTATTGAAAATCACAAATATGTGTAATCCCATAATTCAAATTTGAATAACAGCAGTAGGTCAGTATCAGATAGCATAGTTCTGTCTCCTTTCTCTCTTTATAAGAGAAAATTTGCAAGATCCACAAGAAGTTTCCTTAGAGCCTTCCAAGACAAAGCTCCTCCCTGCATGCTTTTCTTCCTTCTTAGCATGCCCACCCATTCATCTAAATAATGCTTGTGCTGGCTCAGGGGATTACTACCTTCTTAACCTCAAATGTGGCATTAACATAATTAACCAGAACCTAATGGGCATTGCTTCTTGACCCTGGGAATAAGTTGAGTTTTTACTATCCTTTCCCATCTACTACAGGTAGAATTTAACTTATAAATATCATCAAGACATTACAATGAATTTTAAACATTAAATGGGGATCATGTACTTGCTGGAGAAAAAAGATGTTAGCCTTTTTACTATCAGGATTAGTAGCTAGTATTTTATTACTGCAAATAAGTGAAGTTAGTTTTTAGTATGACACATACACACACAACATTCAGTGCCTCTAATAACTCTCCAAGGCTATAGTCCAAATGACCACAATATCAAAATCAGATTAAGATTTCAAAGAGTGGTTATCACCTTTAGTGAAATTAGTATTCTTATATTTTTCAGAGGAATCTGTTAAAATGTATAAATTGCCATACTGACAATAGGCAAGATACAGAGAAGCATCTGGAAAAAAAAAAGAGAGAAAGTAATGACATAATTTAGGCAGCTTGCAGAAAAGAAACAAGCTTAAGTTAATGAAAAAGTTAGTAGTCCAAAATAAAATGGCAGTTTGTATTTGAACACTTGGGTAATATGTAGCTTAAGAATTAAAAATTTTTATCCCTAGAAACCCAGGAAAGAAATTTCAAAACGGAAAGCCCTGAGAGAACAAACAAAACTATCTCACTAAAATGCTGGGGAGACAAACAGGAACACTGTGACTGTGACAACACAATCAAACACCCGGAGCACCAAAATTGTGACCTGCCAATAAAATATCTAAGGGCACAGAAGGCCCGGATCTTGATGACTGGCTAATAAAGTTAAGGAAAACCAGACTACGTTTAACATAACAAGCGCTGTAGGTCAGTACATACAAGCTGTTTTCCCTGGCAACAGCAGACCAAAAAGGAACCGAACAAAATAAAATGTAATTATGGTATGGAGAATTCTGCGTAGACATAAAGAACTTCCTGGCTACCGAAATGGAGTGAGGTTATGGGGTCTGATCTTTGATATCCAAAATCCAAGCAATAAATTACCCCATGATACAAAATTATAACAGAACTCAACGTTCACATCTGGCTTTGGCACTTAGCAGATGCTATGAATTCGGGACAATGTTCTTAATCTCGGGGAGTCTGTTTCCCACTTGAAAATGGGGTTGGTTACCTGCGCTTACGTCATAAGTAATACCTCCGTGTGTTACTCTGAGAACCATCATGAGATGTTGCATGCAATACGTCCAACACAGTGCGTGGCACACAGCACCTACTAGCTATAATAATAAAATGATGACAGCATGCCCCAATTTACCCAAGAAGCCAGGACATTTTCCTTCATTACCTGTCCCTAAAGCACTTTTACACCTTAAAAGTGATTTCACACTCACTGTCCCACTTGATGCATACAGTACCTTTACTCAAACAGCAGAGTATGAGGATATCTGGAGAAATTTATGCCCAGGAAAAGGTTTTTTGTTTTATATTTTTAAAACATATATTTTATTGATTTTTTTACAGAGAGGAAGGGAGAGGGATAGAGAGCTAGAAACATCGATGAGAGAGAAACATCCATCAGCTGCCTCCTGCACACCCCACACTGGGGATGTGACCACCACCAAGGTACATGGCCTGCGCCGGAATGGAACCTGGGACCCTTCAGTCCGCAGGCCGACGCTCTATCCACTGAGCCAAACCAGCCAGGGCGTGCCCAGGAAAAGTTTAAGTAACTGTACCCATGTTACAACCATACTTAGTGGCAGTTTGGGGACCACACATCTGTCCTTCCAACTTTCATTGGGTGAAGCCTCCTCTAGTCCACGTTACCCATCTGCCCGTCTTCTGGGCAAGGACGAGTTAAAAGCGTCCCTTCTTTTGCTGACCTCCCTTACAAAAACACGCCTGCGCGTGACTGGGCGATTCCACCTCCCTCCACACATAGGATTTTGTGCGGTTGATGTGGACAACTGCTGTCAAGCACCGTGGGCGAGGGGCGGGGGGGAGGGGGACACGACGACCGACCTGACCCTCCTGGGAAGCCAGCTTCAACTGCTCCAGCTCCTCTCGGTGCCGCCGCTCCATTTCTGCCTCCAGCTTAGCAACGTCTTCCGTGAGCTGCTTCCTCCTCTTCTTGTCGTTCTTGGGAACGGCATTCTTCATACCTTGAATTTTGGCTGGAAATCCACCCAGAAAAACAAAACAAAACAAAAACAACCTTTTTAAGTCCAAAATCAAGGGGTTAGAGGAAATGAGAAATAAGGGGATGGTGAAGGGGAGAGAGTAGAGAAAACGTAACTATGGCAACAAGAGTGAGTGCAGAGCAACCCGACAAGGACCGAGAGGAGCCAGAGGAAGAAGCCGAGTTGCCCCCGCCCTCCAGAACGTCTCATTGACGACCCTGTGAGTTGGCCGTGGCGGGCGACAAAAGAAAAAAAAATGACGGAAGTGTCTCCATCTTTTCCAGCACCCCTTCGGATCCCCCAGATTGAGGTGAGGTATTTCCAAAGGCACCCACGAGGGCCAAGGGCAGGTGACGGGGCGGGAACGGGGCAGGGAGACCGGGAGGGAGGCGGGCTCGTTCTCCCGGGCGGCGTGGAGGGTCTCAGACCCCGGCACTCGAGGGGGTCGCGCGGGGCAGGGGACCGCGGGGCCGAGAAGGGGGTGCCCTGGGGATGAGAGGATTCAAAGACTCCGGGGCAGGCGAGGCGAAAGGGAGTCGCCCACCGGCCACTCTGGCGAAGTCTGGGACAAGGCGGAGTCGAAGCCACGACCCCCCTCACCTTGCAACTCCTTCTTCTCTTTGCGTTGCTTTCTCACCAGCTGCTCCTCTTCGTCAAGCTCGTCTGCCAAGCCTTCCTCCATGTCCACCCGGCGCCCGCACTCGGAGGAA